GAGCCCGATGTAGGGCTTGAACTCACGAACTGAACCGTGAGATCATGACCTGAGCCAAAGTAGGACACTTAACTGACTGAGCCACCTAGTCGCCCCTCAACAACAAATATTTAAACCGAACACTCTCTCTTTCTCTAATATAAGCCAGGTCATTTGATGCATCAGTTTGCTACAGTAGCTTAAACAATAGACATTTATTTTCTCGCAGTTCTGGAGACTATAAGTTCAAAGTCAGTGTCAGCAAGCTTGGTTGCTTTGAGGCCTCTCTCTTTGGCTTGCAGATGGCCTCTTTCTCACTCTATCCTCACATGGTCTTTTCTCTGTGCGTGCACATCCCTGGTGTCTCTGTATGTGCCCAAATTTTTGTTCTTATAAGAACACCAGTTAGATTGGTATCCTCATTGTAATGGCCTGCAATTGAACTAAATCACCTCCTTAAATGGCCTGTCTCCAAATACAGTCACATTCTGAGGAACAAGGGTTTAGGACTTCAACATAAGAATTTGGGGGGACAGAATTTAACCCATAACATATGGCATAGAAAACCGTATAAAAATAAGGGTTGAAGTCACACTTTTACAACTAAATAACCACCTTATATTGGAACTTATTTTACGTATCTTGGACCCATTTTTCTCATCTGTAAAAAGAACAGAAAATGTGAAAGAAATAAAAACCTGCCCTACTGCTCTGACAGGGCTAAGTGTGAGTCTGACAAAAGTTTTTAGGCAATGTTGCATTCTGCAGAATAACAGGACTTTGGCAATGCTATTGTGGCATTGTTGTTGTGATGGCCTGTTGCTTACTGAGAAAGTTAATGCCTTGATCTCTTCCCATTCTGTATTGCTAGAGCTATGCTGATAAGTGCTCTTAGGCCCTCAGTGGGGGGGGGGGTTCATTTTATCTCCCATTTTTCTAGTTCCACAGGTGAGTGTTATGAAAGGAAAGAAGGTACTTTTTAAGAAACTAAAGGCAGCTACTCATTTTGAGTGTGAAGAATTGTGAATTTTATCATTCCTGGGGCCTGTTTTCATTCAAAGATTCTATAATAACCTATTAAAATGATCCATGTATATATATATATATACGCCTTATATCACAAACTTTATCTCATTTGGACCCACGAGAATCCTATGAACTTGTTTTTTAATGTACACATGATTATCACATAAATACTTAATATCTGTGACTTATGCTAAGATACAGAATGGACTAGTTTACAGCAGACCAAACCTGTTGGAAAGATCAACCCGAAGACTAGATAAAAGACAGAACGGTATTTCTCTGAAAGCTATTATTTGGAATTCAAATTGAATATCGTATAGAAAGGAGAAAAAAAACCTGGGAAGAAGTTAAAATCATATAAAATCTTTAGAATTATTCATACAAAATGTCCAGATTTAATTATAAATAATCAGGAATGATACAAAAGAGGAAATGGATTTTTTAAAAAACTGTAATTAATATATATAAAAAATGGATAAGATGGAGAATCTTATAAAAGG